GTTTCTGGGTGGTGAGGAGCAACTCCAGGAAGCAGAAGGCACCCCCATGGTTCGAGGGGCTGGTGAGGAAAGGCTGGGACAGCTGCTTAGGAAGCAGCTGCCTACACACCTGCAGCGGGAGCCTGTGAATTGCGTCTGCTGTCTGCACATGTTCTCAGCTCAGTCCCCGGCTGCATCCCGAAGGAGAATGCGTTCAGTTCTTGGCAGAGCTTAATCTGAAGTCAGCTGAGAGGGTCTCTGGGAGGGGCCAATTTACAGACTTCACCCCTGGGGTACAGGCCAGAAAATAGAAAGGCGAGGTGCTCTCCAACACTTGGTGTGCCAGTGTGTTCCTGCCTTCCTCTGATCCCTTCTTGGTGAGCTACCACTTGTGACATTGTAAAAATTGACTAACTGGGGCTATAGACACGGCTCAGACTCCTGGGGCTATAGATACAGCTCAGAAGTTAAAAGCATTTGCTGCTTGTGCTGACGACCAGAGTTCAGTACCCAGCACCCGAGAAGCTCCCAACTGCCAGTAACTCCAGTTTCACACATACGTGCTCTCTCTCTCGCTCTCTCTCTCTCTCTCCACACACACACACACACACACACACACACACACACACTAAAATAATTTTAAAGTTGTTTAGTTAATTATGGTTGTGGGTTTTTGAGACAGAGTCACGGTGTAGCCGGGCTGGAATTTATAATCCTCCAGCTTCAGCCTCCTAAGTGCAGAGATTACAGTGATGTGATGCCGTACCTGGCTATGTTATTGTTTAAATGAAGCTCTGCTCACGCCATCAGTTGGCTCTTTAATTTCATCAGGGTGAGGGAACCCTAATCCACAGTTCTATTCCAATAGCTAGCGTGTTCTATAGTTATATTTTACCTCTCCCCCAAAGACATTATTTCCCCTTAGGAATAAAAGAAAAATCTGTTTCAGTCTGGAAATTATAAACATATCACTTAGAAGTATATTAATACTTAATGTTTTAATTTATAATACATGAGCCATTAAAGAAACCCTCTAGACGCTTAGTGGTCAAGAGAATTTGCTGTTTTTCCCGAGTTTAGTTCCCAGCAACCACGTCAGGCAGTTTACAACTCTAGTTCCAGGGGGATCTGATGCCCCCTTCTGCCTCTCTGGGCACTGTAGTCACATGTGTACATACACACTCCAGTGCACACACACACATACATATACACATGTGTGCGCGTGCGCACACACATACACAAATTAAAAAATAAAATAAATCTTAAAAATGCTCTGAACTCACATTGGCTCCTTATAATTAGAGACTTATTAATTTCCCCTGTGTGTTAAGTGTCTCCGGGGCTTGTACTGAGTGCCCCGAGCCGGATGCTGTTGGCCCATCTCTCAGTTTCCTTGGCTGTGGAATGGGTCTACCAGACCTTTCTTCACCATCGGTTGGAGGCATGTGGCAGTGCCCTGGAAACAGCAAGCTCTACTGAAATATTAATTGTAGTGTTAATGGGTGTGGAGTTGAGATCTGTATTTAGAATTTATTCTTTCACCATGTTGGCATATCAAGTTTTAATGACGGGGGTAAATCAGCCTCAGAGCGTCTTCATCCCCACTGTCTCTGTGCTCAAGAGGTCATTCTGTGAAAAAGAGTGCACCGACTGGGCCTGCCTACCTTGCCTGTGCTCCACAGATGCGATGGGTAAGCTATAAGTCCCCTGTCAAAGCAAGCAGGCAGATACATGAAAACAAAGGCCCACCATGTGACTTGTGTGTGTTGGGGGTGCGTGTCCATGTCTGTCATAGTGCACATGGAGGTCAGAGGTCACTATTAGGTGCCCTCAATCACCTTATTTTTACTTAATTGATGTTATGTGTGTAGGTATTTTAGCTGCATCTTTGCACCACATGCATGTAATTCCCACAGAGGCCAGAAGAGGGCATCAGATCTCCTAGAGCTGGGGTAATGGACAGTTGTAAGCCACCATGGAGGTGCTGGGATTTGAACACAGGAGTCCTCTAGAAGAACAGCCAGTGCTCTAAACTGCTGAGTCACCTCTGCAGCCTCCACCTTAGTTTTTGAAACAAAACTCTTTTCATTGTTACTTGAATTCACTGATTCAGCAAGGCTGACTAACGAGAAAGCACCATAAATTAACCGTCTCTGCCTCCCTAGTGATGGGATTAGAGATGTATGCTGCCCTGTGTGACTTCTGTTTCCCTCCCTCCTTCCCCCGTCCCTCCCTCCCCCTCCCTCCCTCCCTCCTTCTTACTTTCTTTCTCCCACTCATGAGTGTTCTGTCTTCATATGTGTCTTGTGTACAATGAGTGTTCCTGGTACCTGTGGAGACCAGAGGAAGGCATTGGATCCCCTAGAACTGGAATTACAGAAAAGTTGCTTCCTGCCATGTGGGTGCTGGGACTCAAACCTGGATCTTCTGGAAGGGCAGCCAGTGTTCTTAACTGCTGATCCATCTCTCCAGCCCCCATGCCTGGCTTTTTAAATGTGGGTTCTAGGGGATTAAATTCAGGTTTTCATGCCAAGATGGTATGACCAGATCCAGTTAGCATATGATGTCATCTGAATACTGCCTTCATCGTCTTTACAGTCTCCCCCATCAGAGGTTGAGACAGACAAACACAGCTTTCTGCTCTCTGAAACAGGGTCCAGAAAGCATCAGAAGTGTAAGTAAACAGATCTGGGTCTCAGTGATGGGTTCAGTGTTGATCACAAGCTCCTCGCCCTAAGCAGCCATACTCCTCGCTGGGGTGGGAGACCTGTGTTCATTGCCTGGAGGCATAGAATTCACTCCAGTCTTCCTCAGGCAGATGACAGTTCAGGAGGCCAGTCTGATTGACTACGACTTCAGGCATCCTTCATTGTGGACAACATGGACCTCCCAACATCTTCACAGTAGACCAGAGGAAGAGCAAGGCACTAGCTTAGTCCCAGTGGTTCAGAGTCAAGAAACATGACAATTAGAAGCTGAGGCAGGGATCCCAACAACTGGGGTTCCACACCTTTAATCCAGCACCAGGGAGATGATGTGGGATTCCCTTCTGTATGCTGTGAATATCATTGGTTAATAAAGGATCTGCTTTAGGCCTATAGCAGAGCTATATGGGAACAGAGCTAGGCAGGAAAAACTAAATGGAATGCTGGGAGAAAGGAGATGGAGACAGAGAGAAGCCACATAGCCCCCTCTGGAGACAGATGCTGGGAACTTTTTCCGGTAAGCCACAACCATGTGGTGATACACAGATTAGTGGAGATGGGTTAAATTAAGATGTAAGAGTTAGCCAATAAGAAGCTAGAGCTACAGGGCTAAGCAGTCTTTTAAATAATACAGTTTCTGTGTGATTATTTCAGGGCTGAGCAGCCGGGACTAACTAGTGGCCCTATTACAGTGGGGAGGTGGAGATGGGAGGGATATGGCTGGGCAGTGTGAGGAATATAAGGTGGGCGGAGACAGGAGCTCGTTGCAGTCAGAGGATGCAGTCTGATGACAGGATTGCCCTGTTGGTCTGAGGATTTGGTAGAGGTAAAAGGTCTCTCAGGTGACTTGACTGCACTGCTTCTCTGATCTCTCAGCTTTTACTGTCTAATATTTGACTCCGAGTTCTTATTATGAAGACAAATTAGAATTTGTGCTATATCTGGTGTCCAACTTTTGAGGTACAAATTCATGAAAAAGCCACTTGCCTGTGACTTTGCAACCACTGGCTTAGGCTGGAGCTACCCGCAGCCAGAGTTACTTCCCTGCTGGTTAGATTTTTCTTTCTTCTCCCCCGGTGGGCTTTCTCTGGGCTCCCTTCTCAGGCTGCTACCAAACTAGGTATCTGCCCTGAAATCTGGTCAGGCTTTTACTGTTCTGTGTAGCAGCTATAAGCCTCACATCTTCATCTTCATTGGTGGCAGATTTGGTGAGAAGATTGGGAATTCTTAAAGGGAGAAATTAGTTATGAGAGAATTTTTTCTTATGTTAAAAAAATTGGAAACACAATAATGATAGAGGAAGTTAGGTCTCTGTATGATTACATAATGCATGACTTAAGTATGGAACAATTAAATGAAGGGATAATCAGCTTAACCCAGATTGATATACTGTTAATTATCATTTTGATAATCCTTGTTGTCCTTTGATAATTCTTGGTTTGTTGCTTAAAACGTTGTTTGGTATGAATGCCAAAATATCCTTAGAGAAATTTAATAAAACAGATCATAGAGATATGCAAATTCAATCATAGGAATTTTATGTAGAACCCATTTCAGAGTTGTATTATAAGGTTAGAGAGGAATAACCTAAGGTTTTCAAACAACCTCAATATATCCAGTAACCTTACAGGAATTGCCCAATGATTGACATCCCCAGGACTCTGTAAGAGCTAACACTGTGACAGTGTTAGATTTAAGGAGACCAAGGAAGTCTCCCATGGCATGCACTCACCTCTTGTGAAGTAAATATGAAAAAAGAAGCTGAGGCATGGCAGTTCCCGTAGATTGGCAGCAGAGTGGTGTGTGGAAGGCTTTGTTCGGGGCTCATAGAGGGCTGAGGTACAGGAGGGTGCCCTTCTTCTGCAGTCTGTGCTCAGGACAGGGTGCTTGCAGGTGGGGAGTAGGGTCAGGCTCAGAAGACAGCGCTAACCTGCTCTTCCCCCTTTCCGCTGTGTGGCTCTGGACTGTCAAACACATCCCATTTAGTGTTGGGTAATGAACATTGCAGGTAGCTAGTGTCATCAATGGACGTCCATCATTTGGGCTTTATTCTAGAGAGAGCTCAGGTTTGCAGGCAACTGTGCATTAGAACCACGCGGCTTAAGAAAACTTTCTGGGCTGGGTCCCAGAGCTACTGAATGGTACACTGGAGGTGTGGCCCCAGCCTCTCCTGCTGCTGCTGCTGCTGCTGCAGGACCACATTTCAAGTACCCAAGGGTAGCTACATCTTTGCAGTGCTTGGAATGCAAATTGTCAAGTCTACCATTGCTGTAAACATGTTTTAATCATAGGCTTGTTTTGTCTCTTTTTAAACAGGTATTTTGATGTTGGACTACACAATTTCCTGATCAGGTAAGCCAGTACCTTTTGTTTTAGCTCTGACTGAATAGTGTATTTATTATGGATGGATGCAAACGGGAAAAACCTTAGCAAATGAATTAGTAGCTGAATTATTTGCCAGGAGAAATTGCTAACACTTTGTGTTTGTTCATCAGCATCTCACATAAATAATCACTCAGAGCTGTTTCTGTCAGAAGTGAGAGTTAACTGTCTTTGTTTGCTTTCTGTTGCTGTGATAAAACACTGGCCAAAAGCAACTTGGGAAGGAAAGGGCTTATTTAAGCTTGCAGTCCCACCGTCGTAGGAAGCTAAGGCAGGAACCAAAGCAGAGAACATGGAGGAACACAGCTTACTGGCTTGCTTCTTCTGGCTTCTTCATTTTGCTTTCTTATACAGTCCAGGCTGATCTGCATGGGACGGTCCTGTCCATTATGGGCTCAGTACTCCCGTGGCAATCTGCAGTCAGGAAAGTGTCCTATAGACATGCACAAGGCTGATTTGATTGGACGAGTCTTCTCAAGGATATCAAGTTGACAGCCAGAATTAGCCATTACATTTACCAAGGTCTTACTTCCATGTACTAGGCCACTGGAAAGATAAATAGAGAAAATGAGCTTTATTGGCTTGTTTTAGATGTTCATTTGACCAATTATCTCCCATTGAATTTAATATTTTAAAACCAAACTTATATTTGTTTTACAGTCATGGAGATATGACCTAGTGCGTACTTGAGATTCTAGACAGCAATTTATAACTTAAGTTTATTGGTGATTTTACCAGAGCTGTATTATGGAGCACATTAATTTCACATAGCTATGAAATTAAATAAGTGGAAATAAATATATCAAAAATATTGGCTGTGCCTATAAAAGGTACATGATTGTGAAAATCAGCTCTGTGCAGTTTCTCTACAGAGAGGGCTCAGTGGCTTAGGACACTTGTCGCCCTTGCAGAGTTCTGGGCTTGGTTCCCAGCACCCACCTGGGGGCTGACAAGCCTCTGTAGCTCCAGTTCCGTGGGATCTAATGCCCTCCTCTGGTTTCTGTGGGTCCAGGCACACACATGGTATACACACATACAGGCATGTAGGCAAAATATACATATAAAACAATGAATTTTTTAAAAATCGATTTTTCTGTGTTTTCTAACTTCTTCCTAGTAATCATCGTTCTTCTAATAATGTTAAAAATAGCTGAAATGCCTCTCAAAAGTGTGTGAGAGAGTAACAGTTGCTGAAGGACCCACAGGAGATGGAAGGCTATAAGGACACCAGCCATCAGTGGGAGAGTTTTGCTTTCTGTAAATAAGGGGCTCAGCACTCATGTTAATTGATTCTGAAAGTTTGTTAAATTCTAGTCATTGTGGCTTTTGTGTATGTCGTGTGGTGGTTCAGCTCGCCACAAGGCATGATCCCTCCCTACTGCTAAGCAGCTAATGGAAAAAAATGTCACTTGTAGTGAACCTCCATGCTGGGCTCATAGAGCAGTGTCCAGCAGGGGTCAAGCCTTCTTTGTCCTCTTTCCCAAGGCCTCCTCAGAGCCTGCATATAGAAATCTCTAAGTCTGTCCTACATTCAGAAATGTGGAATGTCTTGATTTTCTCCAAAACAGTAAACACTGTGTGAACCCGAGACACAACACAGGTCATAACAGTGTAGCAGGAAGGATAATGAACCAGAGAGGCACAGAAGATGTGGGCAGGAGAATTCCAAATCTAAGTGGGTTATAAGAAGCTGTCTGGGAAGACATCCGGATACATGGAACCCAGGGTCTTGCTAGGTAACACTCACCACTGACCTATGTCTCCAGCATAGTGTGGAGCTCGGACTTCATGTTTTGTTACTTTGTACTCTCACGGAACTGTTGCTACAAGGCCTTGTGGTAGACACAAGCTGATACTTATTTTCTCTAGTAACTTTCTTCAGGGCAGGGGCCAAGTCCTAATCATTTATCAATATTTACATTGAGAAACTTGTTTGGGATGAATCTTCAGCAAGTGTTTGTGGTGGGGGTGAATTGATAAAGAGTGAGAGAGAGGGGAGGGGTTCTGTTAGACTGGGGGAGTCTGCTTCTGTGGACTGTGAGTGCCTTGGTCTCCTACAAGGATGTGACTGGATGCTATCATTTGGGAAAAAAAGAAAGAAAGGAAAGAAAAAAAAAACGACACTTGGTTGGAAGATAGTTTGAGTTTATCCTTGTCTGATTGGGGCTTGACTGAGGGATGGTCTGCCCTTGAGGGCTCACTCTTATATCCTAATCCAGACTCCAGGCATGTGGGGTGTGGAGGAGAGAGAGGCGTGGCTGTGCTCTAGCTGGTGCTGGGTCCCTGACTGGAGCCTTTTTGAAAGTCTGTAGCTAGTTACTCTGATCAGTGTGTGGAACAAGTGGGGCTTGGGAAGGGAGTTTTCTCTCTGCCCCGTGACTCCTGGAGGTTTACCTTTCCCTATTCCAAGGCAGCCACAGCAACTAACACGTGTTGCTATGGTTGGGGAATGAGTGGCATCTCCCCTTCCTGTCAGCACCCTGGTCACTGTGAGCAGGTGTTTTTATCCCCCCCTACATGATGGCAGCCCCAAGTAAATGACTTAAAGACCCCGAAGGGCCTCTTCCCGGCTCCCCTTCCCAGCCGGGGAGTAGGGGAGATGATATAACTGGTTGCTTGGAGCAGACTGAGCCTCTTCTCAGGAGTCCCAGTGTTGTTCCTTTTGGAAACTACAGCTCCCAGATTCCTCCTGGATTACGGACACCTGCGGGCGCGCGCACAGGTGCAGGACATTTCTCCCAGATACCCTTGCACTTCTCGTTAAAATGTGAGCTTCCACGAGGTCTCGCTCTATTGCCCCTTACCCTTGTGTGTCTTGCACACCTGTCCATTATCGTGTCCCCCTCCCCCCCATTAAAGTGCACCCACGTGGGAGCCGCGTGTCTGTGTGTCTTCTCCTTTCGTGCGTGTTTTGTCTGTCCTGTGTTTGTCTACACACACACACCCGCTTTAAAAGAATAATACCCAGGATGGGCTGCTGCTGGCTTCCAAGCTTTCTTTCTCCTAGTATGGGAGGTTAAGCATAAGAAACCACAGGTGTTTAAGGTTGGACACACTGGTAAGAACTACTTCAGTGGCCCACGATGTTAAACCAGACTGCAGAGGGTGCAGAGGGTGCAGAGGGTGCAGGGGAACAGCAGTGGCACCTCTCAAGTTTTGCTCTGAGAGGAAAGAGAACAGTTGATGCAGAGGGCTGACTATGTGGCTTCTACTATTTTTTCCAATGAGAAAATGGTGTTTAGCCAGAGGAGGATCCAAAGCTCCTTTTAGACATAGAGAAAGCTGCAGTGTCCTCTCGCAGTGGTCAGTGGTCCTGTAGTGGAAGCTGCAGTGTCCTCTCATGGAGGTCATGGCCCTGCAGTGGAAGCTGCTGTTGCATCTTGCAGTGGTCAGTGACCCTGCAGTAAAAGCTGCAGTGTCCTCTCACAGTGGTTAGTGGTCCTGCAGTGGAAGCTGTAGTGGCCTCTCATGGAGGTCATGGCCCTGCATTGAAAGCTGCAGTGTTCGCTCGTGGCAGTTTGTGGCCCTGCAGTGGAAGCTGTAGTGTCTCTCAGTGGTCAGTGGCCCTGCAGTGAAAGCTGCAGTGTCCTCTCGTGGTGGTCATTGACCTTCAGTGAAAGCTACAGTGTCCTCTTGCAGTGGTCAGTGGCCCTGCAGTACACCAGAGAGGGGTGGCATTTTTCTGTAGATCCAGCCTCAAAGGAAATCTCATGAGCCAAGAAGAGAGATTATACTTGAGAATTCTTTTCAAGGGGAAATATAGCCCTCCTTGTAAAGAGGGTGTATAAAAGGATTGGAACCACCACTGTTTGTTTTTGTTCATAGAACCATTTCCTGGCTCCAGCAAGCTCCTGAGGTGTTCTCTGGGTTGTCAGGTTCTCTCTGATGCTCAGTGCAGCCCATCCGATTAGTCAGCTGTGGCTTTGACGTGGATGGTGGTAATGTTGTCTTCTCTGGAGAGATGTAAGTTTCCCCAGAGCGATCTTAGCTGAAGGACTAGCTTCCTTGTCAATGCAAGTATAGCACAGGGCTCAGACAGGAAGGGGTAGTTGCACAGAAAATGTGAGTATTTTTGTCTGGGTGTTTTACGACGACTGCGGGCAAACAGTGGGCTCTGTCCTTCATCGTCTTATAAAAATCAAAGGGAAGACTTTCAGGAGGCAGGACCAGCCATCACCAGAGAACCCCAGAAGACAATGACTGGACTTTTTCATGAGCCACGGCAAAAGAAAATGGGAAAATGACCAGCTTGGCAAAAAATATTATAGAATAGAATGCCTTTGTCTAATTGAAGACACTAGACTGGCATGTTTAAATTTAGTTTAGTCTGGCTTTGGCAAGAAAGTAAGAAAGATTTATATTTAAAACAATTTTTAGCCTTGCAGTTTTGTCTTATATAGAATTATAGATAGACACCCCCCCTCTCCTGCTTCCCATTTTCTTTTAAGGATCTTGTCATGTTGCCTGGGCTGGCCGTGAGTCCCTGGATGAAAGCAATCCTCCTGTTTAGGGTGGGGCCCGAGTAGCTGGGTCTACAGATGTGTGTCGGTGCTGGATTATGGCCCTGCCCCTTCAAGGCAAGTGATACACAGTTGCTGTCAACTTGATGGGATTTGGAGTCACCCAGGAGACATCTCTGGGCATCTAGGGGGGTCTTTCTGAGGAGGGTCCATCCACACTGAATGTGGGTGAGATCATTCCTGGGCTTGGATTCTGGGCTAAATATAAGGAAAAAGGTGAAAGCAAGTGAGTTCTAGTACCCGTTTGTTTCTGCTTCCAAACTGCGTGCAGTGTGCCCAGCTGCCTCACATGCCTGCTACCAAAACGTCCCTGCCGGGATGGATGGTGCACTCAGACCATGAGCCGAAATAAGTCTTTCTTTCTTTATTGTCTTTAATCATGGTATGAAAATTAACAAGCACAGAGATATGATTCTGAGGAGCGGGGCCATTGCTGCAGTCAGCCTGGTC